TGCAATTCGACGGCGGTGTTTTTCTCGAGGTGACGGGCAGGGAGGGAGCCCTCCTGCAACCCCCCGACCTTTCTCCAACCACCCTTCCAAGGGCTGCAATATTACAGTGAAATTAGCGGGCACTGTAATTATAACTATCAGGAGCAGATAAGACAAGTTAAATACCAGCTACCTAGGGAGAAATTATTATGCCAGCCAGGAGGATCCAAATGCCAGAATCCGTGGCTGTAATTTCACTGAGTCGCCAATTACAGCTCCGCCACGCAGCGAGCTCTACCTTGGAAACGGCAGGTATATATTTAGCTGCTCCAGAAAACTTTTTGGGTAGGAAGGGGGAGGGAGGGGGCAGCGATGGAGCAAGTCCTCACTAATCTGCTCTTCACTAATCCCCACACTTTTAGCATTTGCACACAAAAAGCGGTAACTCTCTTCCCACTTCTAAGCAAGGATTTAACAGCAGAGACGTGGCTACATTAACGCTTCTTTTCTCTGCTGGGCACCACGGTTGCACGTTGTATGGTGGCCGGTGAGTGTCACAACCCCCATTAACAGGTAGGTAAACTGAGGGCCGGCAGTTTGACTGAGAAAGAGGCAAAAAAATCTGATTTCCTGACTTCCCAGACCTAAGCTCAGCGACTGTGGTCCTGCCGCCTGCTCCTGCGGGTTGTATTTTACTGAGGCCTCATCGTGTGCTGGGAATTAGACTGTGGTAGATTATTACACAAAAAAAAAAATATAATAAAAAAAAAAAAAAAAGAAAAGCAGCATTGTCAGAAATAATTAAAACTATAATTGCAAAAATAAATGGAAGAACAGCATCTCATGATGTTTTATTCTGGCTTTTTATTTTTAATTGGAATTGTTCTCAAAATCACTAATTGACAAAATACAGCCAGTCGCGGAGTCTTGGATGCGCATGAGCAAAGCTACCTTGGTTTTTTGGTCTCCTTCACAGACAAGCAACGGGGGAGGCCACGGCCTCGCCAGAAGCAAGTAAAAAGGTGGAGGGGGATTTGACTTGAAAATCTGCCTTCTAAATACAGGGAAAAAAAGCACCTCTGTATTATTTTGTGTAGAGAAAAGCCTAGTTATATATGCCTAACGTTTCTTGTTGGCTCCATTTTACAGATGGGGAAACTGAGGCAGGGAACAACAGAGGGACCTCCTCAAGTCCCAGCCCCCCTGTGGCAACAGCCCAGAAGAAAACCCGGCATGCTCCATCTCCCAGCTACTCCCTCCAACCACTGAAACCTACTCTTTGCCTTAAAAAATAAGCCGATATTTCTTAAATACAGATAAAACTATAAAGCCTTGAAATTTTGAGCAGCTGTTGTTTTATGTCTTTATGAACTGTACTGATGCCTGTTATAAAAGGTCGGTTTGCTGGCAGCATGAGCAGTACGATCACTAGACACCCTCCTTTTAACACCCCTCAAATACCTGCCCCAGCAGCCGCGTTACCCGCATCGCCTCCGCACTCCGGCGGCCCTCTGCGATGGTGAAGATGCTTCCACCACGGCGATGCAGTTGGGCTCAAACACAACCCGAGGTTTCTAGCCAGGGTCAGCCTGCTGGGATTGCTAACCATGCTGGGGACCTGCCAGCGATGCCCCCGTAGCAACTCAGGGGATGGATGCCCATGCCCTACGGCTCGCAGGGCACGCATCCAAGAAGCATCATGCGTAGAAAGCTGAGACTCGGTGGCACTCTTCCCAAAACCAGAGACTTAATCCTTGTTTCCACATCAAATCCCAGCTGGGAAATTTAAAAGTGACCTTCTTCACCCTCCCTGTCCATTACCAGTGTGCTCCTTGTTCCGTTTCGTGTCCCAAACTGGTGTGTAACATGGGTTATTGCTGCCATCTAAACACCTGCCCCACTTCACAGCACAAGGGTTTGTATTTCAGAGTCAGGCAAGATGCAGCTTGATTTTAATAGTACACAGAGAATTTGCAAACTGCCTTGAGTTCCCCGGAGAGGAAAGGTGCGTGACTATTACAGGAATTGTTTGTTCTTACAATAAAAATAGTGAATTATCAACAACCTCTGCTTAAAACAAGGGAATCATTTGCTGCTCATCTAAGATGACCTAAAAGTTGCCTGTAGATGGAGCCTTAGTTTCTGCAAGGATTATGCTAAACCTGCCTCCGAAAAAGGGTGGAGAGCTGGAAATGGAAGCGCCCAAAATCCAATACAGGAAAACCACAACCAGTCTGAAAAGCCTCCAGGTTTCCTCCACCGCTAGCGTGTGGTTCTGCTCCCTCTCATCTCCTCCTTTCTGCAATGCAACGTGTGGTTAAAGAGCTGCCCTTGGAAAGTAAAGAGCTTCCACCAGCCCGGCCGAAGACAGCGAGACTCACAGGCTCAGCCCGTCTCATGCCCAGCCCGTACAAAGCAGGACATGCGAGGACCCGGCCCCTTCAGATCTCATAGGACTGTGGCTAATTCTGCAAGTGCAACAAGCTGGAATTACAGGTCTCAGTTTTTCAAGGCCTAACTCCTTGGTTTGAGCCCCAAAAAAGTGCCATTTTGCAGGTCGAGGACACCACATCTGCTCCTACTATGGGTGCACAGACTATTTGCTGGGAGAAAACCACATCGGGGGCTCCACGCTAGACATCTACCACAAGCATCACACACACGGGAAGACTGCCCAGGGCAGTTTCCCCTTCCTGGCTCTCTGGGGTATCGCAGCCTGAAAATAAACACCAGCCACATCCTCGAGATGCTCCATCTTGGGGCTGCTGCGTGTCACCCCCGGTTGACGCTACTCCTTTGGGTTACTGCACGAAATTCCTTGTCCACCTCCAGACCCCGGGGGAAGATGGAAAGCTGCTCGCTACCCAGAGGGGCCGCAGCAGGGAAATAGAAGGAGGAGAGAAAGCAGGGGTGATGTTGGAAAACAGCAGTGCAAGAAGGGATGGGGCGGACTGAGGGAAAATGGGAGCTGGAGGCCAGAAACCTGAATGCAGCAGGCAGAAGTTAAACTTGAGGAGAAAAAGGGAGGGGGTGAGAACATGGAAAAGATGCATCGGAGAGCAGATGCCGAGGGAGGAAATGGGTAGAGAACAAGTGCTTTTGGGACAGAGGCTTCCTCTAAGTGCCACCACTCCCAGTCCCACTGCAGGACGCAGTTTCTTACAGGAAGGATAAAATACCCAACCGCTCCGGGGCTGGCTGCTTCACAAACATCCCCTCTAGCAAACAGCACAGAAAAGAGTTCAGAAGCTTAAAAAAATAAAGGAGAGCCAAGTCAGCCCTCTGCTGGCAGCAGGCTCGGCCAGTGCCAGAGCTGCGGGGGCTCCCCAGGAAAGGGGCTCAGCCCCCCCCAGGCAGGCACCCATGCTGCTCTGCCCTCCACAGGCATTGCCTTGGTGAGCCCCAAACCCCACACTTCACCGGGGAGACAAATTCAGACGAGAGGAAAAAAAGAGCACCAAGGCCAAAGGCATCTCTCGGGGGGATTGTCGTCCTTTAAACTGCCTCGATCGCTCCAGCTCAAGTTAATCATCGTTGCAGTTCAATTATGAAGAGCACAAGGAAACGCTCTCTGCTCTCCTGCTGTCACAGCCCCCAGTTACATGGGGTGATGACAATTCATCCCAGCGGGGATGAGGAACAGGGATGTGCCCAGCACAGGCAACATCCCAAAGTCCGGCAGGCGCCGTGCCGGGAGGCAGGCGGACAAGCGACCGACGCCTCTCTCAGCAGCACAGACCTCGAGCCGGAGCTTGTTTCCCAACACCACGTTACACACCCAACATTTCACTTCTACAAACACCACCTCAGCCGTGGAAATCCTTCCTGACCCCCCCACCCCATGCCTCTGCCACCCAGGTAAGCCGAGCATCCTCCGCTGAAACCGGCACAGGCTCCTCATCCCCGCTGCCGGAGAGCACGGCACGCTCAGCTCGCTTGTGCCATCCCTAAGCCTGGCTTTAGGAAGAGCAGCCGCTCTCTGCTGCAGCCTTGTTACTCCCGGTCTGAGCGAGGGAGCAGCCAGCCTCGCATGGGGGGCCACACGCTGCTCGCTATTGCGGAGAAAGCAGCAGACTAACTCCTCCGGACTCGCTTGCTCCAGACTCACATCACCCCCCAATCCCTGGGCTTCTTGCCCCACGTCTCAGGGTTGCTTGCCCAGCTGGATTAACCAGATTAGATCCTCCCTGGGCTGCCTGAAGCTCACAAAGCACAACCCAAAGCCCCGGACACGAGCTGACTCCCCACCGCCCTCCGAGAAAGGCTGGGCTGCTATCTGCTCATCTGGCCACGCTGCTGCGATGTCTGTTGAGAGCTGCTATCCTACACGGGTAATGCACCATGTACACCTGTAACTCATTCAGGGAACGAAAAGGGATGCTCTGCTGTATCGTGCAGCATAGAAGCGGCCCATCTGCATATAAGCTGCCTGCATTTCTCCTACAGCAAACAGCGTTAAGGTAAAGCATCCATCAGAATTCATAAGATGCACCCCTGGAGTAAAAGATTGATTTGATATTAACAGATTCGTGCAGAGACTATAAAGTGATCAAGGCGAAAACACTGACACCTCAGAGGCATCGCAGCCCTGGAAACCCACTGGCAATGCAGGCTGGCACCGGTGCAGGCAGTGCGGACCCCCCCTCCCCTCCCCTCCCACACAGGCACATGCACCGAGACAACTTTGGGAGCGTCAGGCAGCACTAACTCACTGTCTGCCACCTAAACCCCTTTGTCAGCTCCTTGTCTGGCACCCGCAGCCCTGATGGGGAGGTTGCCAGCCGTGCGCCGCAGCCCGTCACACAGCCCCGGCACATCTGTGTCCCGTCACCCCCCCCAGCCCCAAAACTGCTCGTCCGGGGTGTCCCCTGCCACGATGGAGCCAAGCCCCTGGGACACAGGCCAAGTCTCCAGCCGGTCCCAGGAGGCTCCGGCAGCCCCGCTCGGCGCACAGCATCCCTCCCAAACAGCGGCCAGGACCCCCCCAGTGCCCCCCAAGGCAGAAACACAGCTGCTCCTACCTGAGCGTGGCACTCTCCCCTTGCCGCACAGTCACGTTGTCCATAGCTTTGGGGAAGGTGGCATCTCCGCTGCGCACGGGCACTCCTGCGGGCACAAGGAAGAGCAGCCTGAGACAGAGGACGACTAGGCACCTCCAGGGCAGGGCTAAGCACCCACCGACCCCCATCCTGGGCAGCAGGGACTTTTCCAACAGGCAAAAAACACACCCGACAAGGCCACCAGGAGCGAAAAGGGGGTGGGGTGGGGTGGGGGGGAGG